TGGGAGGGAGAGAGGAAGGGGGAAACGGATTAGAAGAGCCAGCTGCTAACTCCCAACAGCCTCAGCCAGCAGTCTGGACCCCAGGAAGCCCCACTTTGCACCTAAAAAGTAGGAAGTTGGAAGGTGAATAAAAATGTGTATATTTGATCTGCATGTGTATCTGTATGTATGTGTGTTAGTGTGGGTATCTATGTATGTGTCAGTGTGTGTATCAGTATGTGTGTATGTGTGTATGCATAGCTGCATGTGCATCAGTGTTTGTATCCGTATGTGTGTCTATGTATCTATATTTGTGGCAGTGTTTGTATCTGCATGTATGTCAGTGTTTGTATATTTGTGTCTGTTTATCTGTATGTGTGTGTGTGTCAGTGTGTGTATGCATAGTTGTATGTGTATCAGTGTTTGTATCTGTATGTGTGTCTATGTATCTATATTTGTGTCAGTGTTTGTATGTGCATGTATGTCAGTGTTTGTGTCTGTTTATCTGTATGTATGTCCGTGTTTGTATCTGTATGAGTGTCAATGTGTGTGTGTCTGTGTATCTGCATGTGTGTCAGTGTGTGCATATGATAGCATGCATCTCAACATAACGCCAACACCACACACAAGTACATCCCTGCAATCAAGCGTCAACATTACATAAAAACACACCTCTTTATTACTCTGTGTATTACATGTTAGGGTTGGGATCTCTGTTTCTTGCCCTGGGTGACTGCATGTTTTTTCAGAGCACATTTAGTTGGCTAATCAGTTCTTTCGATTTTGTTTATCTCGTTTCAGTTTAATGTTTGTCTCTGGTGCCATGCTTGAAATTCCCTTTCGGCTGAATGACATCAGTTGAATTTGTTATTTGCGACGACTGCTGTTATGCTTCATTTTGTGGGTTCTACCTGTTATTCCGTTTAGTCGCAGCTTGAAAGAGGAAGTACTTTGTGGGGAGTTTTTTGGTATCTAACTGTTTTCTGATTGGTTGTTTTCTCTCTGTGTTAATGTGCTGTCTCTAGTAAAGAGAGACTTAAGCAAATATTCGCCTCCTGTCATTAATGAAATTAAGATTATAGGTACACTAAAGTTAGCATAATCTACAATTTTACACCAAAGTAGTTGGAAGCTTATCTGAATTAGACAATTTGTGAATTTAGCTATTTTAGCCTTAAATTTTAAATTTACTTTGAGTTCCCTACACTTCTCACTTTAGAAAATAATCTTGATAGTGTTTATTATTTTCAATACCTCTCTGCACCCCAGTGAGTTTAAAATACCAGCTCAGTACTGCTTTATTTCTAAGCTAATTTGACAGTGTATTCCTATAATCCGGCCAGGCCTGGATGTTTTATGCCACGCACTCAATGTCCTATTATCACTAGATCTTTTTTCACATCAGATTTATTCCCATTATTGTGTTTTCTTCTGCTTCTTTAAGTAAATATTCTGCGCTTATCACATTTATTGTCACATCTTTAATTTCAGCTCAGACTTGTATGCAAAGCACTGCGGACGGCAATCTAATAATCACAGATATTAAACGCTTTCTCCTGCGTCAGCGGGAGGATGAGTGGAATCCACCTGTGTACACTTCGTTTAGCAGAGATTAACATGCTCCTGTTTTCCTGTGAATATCCCGCTGCGGGAGTTGTCATATCACGTTTGATTAAATGACGAAGGGGAACATGTTTCACTTCATTAAACTCAGCCTTTTCTTTTGGGGGCCTTATGGCCTGGAATTAGAAACAAGCTTCAGCGGAAAACAAAATTTTACAACCTCTTACTTTTCCTGTGACTCTCTTACCTCCTGCAAGTCAGGAAGACCATAACATAATAGCTCCATGTACTACAGTAATGTAGGAGGTGTTTAAGAGTTAGAAACATTTTATGAATAAAGAAAAAATAGCTTAAAAGTGCCAAATCAGATTGGTTTAACCTAGCTATTTGGAACAGCCGGCGGAAATTCTGTCAAACGGACTGGTGGTGTTCTCGTATTGGCTGCCAAGTATTACTCCTTGACTGCCTTAATGAGTCAACTGTCAAGAAGCAGCCAATCAGGTCATTGAAAACCAGAATGAAAAAAGAATACATTGTAGTTGAAATGGGCTGCCAGCAAGCAAACAATGATAATTAATGCATTAATTCACAGTTAGAGATGAACTGACGTCCAAGAGAAATTTCTGTTAAACTATCTAAATGCTTTCTAAATTTTCAGCCTCTTAGCTGACGCCCCCTGAATTCCTAATTTAGTACAACTTGGCATTTGAGTTGTTCAGTTTTGATGTTGTTAAGTTTGGTCAGACTACCACTCCATGTACTTTTCCATTGTATTACAATCCGCCAGACCCCAGCCTCAGAACCCGGTCAAACACTGCTCATTAAAAGGGGTGACACCAATGGATGTAACATCACGTATGAATCTAAGTGAACTAATGGGCACCTGTGAAGACCCCAGCTCCTTAGTCCGACCATGAGAGACACCCTATAAAGCATTGCACCAATACACATACGCACTGTCAAAACCCACAACAGTGCACTGTGGTTTGATAGCACCATCAGAGAATGAAGAGAACAGGCCGTAAACTCGAGAGAAAGTGGCGCAGGACATGATCCAGAGGATAAAGCCACTCTTGCCAAACACCTAATTGAATATCAATTCAAGATAAATCAGAAATAAATCTTAATTTTTATCACACGAAATTGCACTCTCCCACAATAGACCCAGGCAACTGTTTCGCACAGTAGAAAGGCTCTGCAAACCAGCATGCATGCATATCCCCACCAACTTTTATCAGTATAAGTGTGAAGCATTTTGGATCTTCTTCAGAGACAAGATTTCCTCGAACTGAGCCTCTATCACAGCAGGCCAAACAATTACACAACAGAACCACTACAATGGAATGCCAGATTGCTCCAGTTTATGGTCCACTTTTACAAATGTGGATATAAAGGGAGTTAAAAGAACCATACAAAAGTTACACCCTGCTACATGTGACTTAGACCCTGCTCCAACTCAGCTTATATCTGCGTGCATTGAAACACTTGCCCCAGTCCTCACAAAAATAGTGCAGTGTTCACTAAAAACTGGAGACTTTCCGGATCCTCTAAAAGAAGCTGTGGTAAAACCACTCCTAAAGAAGCCTTTATTAGACCCAGACTGTATGGCTAATTACAGACCAGTATCCAACCTTCCATTTCTGGGGAAAATAATTGTAAAAGTAGATGACACTCAACTGGAGGCCCATCTATCAAGCTTGAATATCTTTGATCCTTTCCAGTCAGGCTTCAGATGCCGCCACAGCACTGAAACAGCGCTAGCCCGAGTGCTAAATGATCTCCTTATGGCGAGAGACAAAGGTGATTACTCCATTTTAATCCTCTTGGATCTCTCAGCTGCATTTGACACTATTGACTACAGAATTTTAATAGAGCGTTTGCATCACATCTGTGGTCTAGGAGGCACAGTCCTTAACTGGTTTAAGTCTTTCCTCACTGGTAGATCACAGAGAGTAACATCAGGATCAAGCTCATGGCACCAACAGAACTGGCCTGCAGAATTCCACAAGTATCCCTCTTGTCTCCCATGCTATTGCAGTTTACTTGCTACCACTGGGGTACATCATTAGGCGACATGGCCTAAGGTATCATTGTTACGCTGATGATGCACAACTCTACTTCTCTTTCTCTCCAGATCCCACAGACCCAACATGCCGCATCAACAGTTGCTTAGCAGACCTCATAGAATGGATGAATGCTAGTTGGCTTAAAGTGAACCCGGACAAAACAGAGTTACCTTTGGTGAGGGGACCCCGGGCAACAAAATATCTCATGATCACCCAATTGGCCTAAAGCTTGGAGGCTCTGCACTCATTAGTTCATCAAAGGTACAAAATCTCGGAGTGCTGACTGACTCTGGACTATCATTTAGAAAGCAGATTTCCTCCATAATAAAATCTGCCTACTTTCACCTGAAAAACATAGCCAGGATACAAAACTTAATTCCAGCGGATGATATGCCAATATTAATCCATGCATTTGTATCCTCTCGGCTAGATTACTGCAATGTACTTTACTTGGGCCTCCCAGAAAAAGAACTCCATCGTCTGCAGACGGTACAAAACTACTACAGCCAGACTACTGACCAATCAAACTTGCTCCTGTCACATAACACCTGTTCTCCACTCCCTGCATTGGCTTCCAATTAAATGGCGAACATATTTTAAAATTGGTCTGCTGACCTTCAAAGCCTTAAACAATCAAGGCCCACAGTACCTAAAAGAGCTCCTGACACCCTACATTCCATCACGTTCACTTCAGTCAGCCAGCAAATCATTCCTGTCGGTGCCAAGAATAAAGATAGACTGAGGTTCCAGGGCATTCAGCCACACTGTCTCTGCCTTCTGGAACTCTCTACCATGCACAATCAGAGAGGCACCGTCCTTACAGACTTTATAAAAAAAAGCTAAAGACCCACCTCTTCCATCTGGCATTCAGTCCGCTCATCTGACCTTCAGAAATTCCTTACTTTTATGTCTTTATTTGCATATTTGTAAAGTGCTTTGAGTCTCACAGGGAGAAAAGTGCTATAAAAATCGCAAATTATTTTTATGATTATTATAACTATTACATTTTCTCTAAAATCTCCAAAAGTCTCCAAATGGAATGATTTTTCCTGAATTTGCCTCTGCAGATTTTGACACTGGAAATGAAACCCTGAAGAACGAATTTTGATTAACCATTCTTAAAGTCTTCCGAATATAGGCTAAAGTAGCCAAAGAATTAAAGCTAAAATATGTAATTTCTCTAAACTATTAGGTGAATAAATGCTTTAATGTTACTGTATGCATTACACGTGTCACTGTTACATGTTACCAAATAATAATTATGTCATCTTTACTGTAATGGCTGGATAGCGTGCATAACAAGGCATTATCAGGTTACACGGCACTGTGATTCTCCACCTTGTATTGTACTTTCTGCTGCTACAAGCTGCGCGACCAGTTAAATTAAGGTCTTTATTTTGCAAAAATACTATGTGTACAACTGTACTGTCTGGAGGATGGGATAGAGGAAAAGTTGTACACCGGCACTGTCTGGATGACGGAAGAGAGGAAAAGGTGTACACCGGCACTGTCTGGAGGATGGGATAGAGGAAAAGGTGTACACTGGCACTGTCTGGATGATGGAAGAGAGGAAAAGGTGTACACCGGCACTGTCTGGAGGATGGGATAGAGGAAAAGGAGTACACCGGCACTGTCTGGAGAATGGGATAGAGGAAAAGGTGTACACCGGCACTGTCTGGAGGATGGGATAGAGGAAAAGGTGTACACTGGCACTGTCTGGAGGATGGAATAGAGGAAAAGATGTACACCGGCACTGTCTGGAGGATGGAATAGAGGAAAAGGTGTACACCGGCACTGTCTGGAGGATGGGATAGAAGAAAAGGTGTACACTGGCACTGTCTGGAGGATGGGATAGAGGGAAAGGTGTACACCGGCACTGTCTGGAGGATGGGATAGAGGAAAAGGTGTACAACTGTACTGTTTGGAGGATGGGATAGAGGAAAAGGTGTACACCGGCACTGTCTGGAGGATGGGATAGAGGAAAAGGTGTACAACTGTACTGTTTGGAGGATGGGATAGAGGAAAAGATGTACACTGGCACTGTCTGGAGGATGGAATAGAGGAAAAGGTATACACCGGCACTGTCTGGAGGATGGGATAGAGGAAGGTCATGTACAGGAAACCACAAAGAATAACCTTTTGTAGAGATAGAATATCTATAAAGATAATCATTTGATATATGGATAGAGAATAAACTGTTATATGAAGAGAAGGAGGCTGAAAAGCAGCAAATTAATGGAATCTGTTCCTATAATTAGGATGAATCTCACATTTTGTACGTCATTAATTCATCTCTTCCATGAAACTGCAAATAATAACATCCTTTATCTGTATGTAAGGGCGAACAGTACAATATAAGACCCTGCCAATTACCTAGGGCCCCGGGCCCGGCATAGCCATTCTTTCATCCGAAAAGGTCTGTTGATAGAAGAAAACTGTTAAAACGAATGTGCCTCTAATTGACAAACCAAGCGTGTCCATGGCCCAGCTAAAAATGGGAGATGTTAACCTTTGTATTGTATTGGGAGCCTGATAACCTAATTATGGTCCTCATTAAATACGGACATTAAGCTGTAAAAGGTAACATTAAATAAGAGTAACGCTCATTACAGACCCGGGAAGGATTCAGAGAGTTATGGTAATTGATATTCTGCGAGCAGTCATACAGGGAGATTGATAGGAATCCAATAATGAATTTATTGATACAGTTCCTATTGATAGCCTGGCCATATTGCTGACCTGGGCTCCTCTGCATCATTACTCTGATAAAAAAAAATGTTCTACCTTGCAATTCTTTAACCTAATTGATCGAAAAGATAGGAGGGGCTTTGCTTTTTTTTTGTTATATATATTTTTTTCTTGCAGAGCACGTTAACGACCCACACTTTTCATAAAGCATAATGAGCTCTATAAATTACTGCAAATTTATAGTAAATTTAAAATTTGATGCCAAAACATCTAAATTGGAAAGGTTCTCCAGGAGGTTGCCTCAATTCAGCGGATTGAAAAGTGTAAATTAAACTGTAGCTTCAGTCTTGAATGCATGTATAATTTGGAGAAGGTAACTTTTATCCCCTTGTAGATATTTTTTTTTTTTTACCAGATGTGTGTCTTTTTTAGTAGTGATACTCAGGGTACCTGAATTGTGAACCGATTGTACTCTCCTCAGCCATTATCATCTCATGTTTATGGTCCTTGAGGTTCCAATCCACTCTACCAGCTGCTGCTGCGCTAAGCTCGCTGTCTCACCGCCTGCTCCGATCACTTGGCTTCTCATCAAGGAAAAAGTCATCTTCAAAGTCTCGCTCATTATCAAAGCTATCCACTCCGCTGCCTGGATCGACATTGCTGTCTGTGTATTCCTCCACATGTTCTGGCATAGTGACTGTGATCTGTGCACAGCATCTATTCCATGCACCATGCAGCCCACCTCTGTCCCTATATGCCCTCACTACCCTTGATGACTGCATCTGTCGGGACACAGAGCGGTCATGTACATGGTATCCGTGAGACCTGGGAACACAGGTGTGTAACACAGCAAATGCATATATGTGGCTGTTGATGCACACATGTGCCATGATAGAAGTTTTAGCCCCAGACACAATGCATGCAGGCATACAGTGAGGCATTGTATAAGAGTTACGTGCCCTGTGGCTGGCCGCGATTCTGTGGACTTCTTGCAGCTAAATGGCATATTGCGTCTTATAGACTGGTCTCCCTCCAGCATGCTTTGAGACATAGGAGTACATCAGATGTCAGATTATTCAAGGGTGAAAATCAGGTCAACACGGCGGTGCCTCATTCAGTTATTTTCTCATCATTACTGCCTTATTATTGACTAAAAATTCTAATACCCAGTGCATACTGGAATTATTTGTATCCTGGGGCCATGCCTGCATGGGGAGGTATACAGCTCAGTACATTAATAATAACGTATGGCCCAGTTCTCATTATGCAGCACCCTATTCCTGAACAATGCTGCACCTAGTTCTCCTCCAGCCTTTCACCCCTCCCTTCCTTCATGATTAATTTAAGACTATGGAGGTTTCTTTGTTTTTTGATTTTGAAATGTAAAAAAAAGAAAGTCTTCCTGCAAAGGAACAGGGAGATTTAAAAAAAAAAATTAAATATAAAAACTCTCAGTAAATGATAACATTTCCTGAATGGGTTAACTTGAAACCACTCCAGATTTGTATTATGATTCAGTAAGGGAAGGGTTCACATGTCTTTGCTTTGTAGATACAAAGTCCTTTCACGAGAATCCTTAAACATTACCAAATTCGACAGGTTCTTTTTTATCATTTTCTTGCAAATTATCCCACATTTCAAAAAGAACATTCTCTGTTATTCTTCCTGCCCCTGCAGTTTAAGAGGTACACAGTCGGCACTTAGCCACCGCTAAACCCGGCACTCGAATCATTTGAATTTTAAGTAAATTCGCTATATCGGACCAAAGAGATGTTTTGAAAGAAACACAAATGAGCAGGGAGGGAGATTTTCCACAATCACGGGGAATCGAAACAGTACAGTAGTTTAAAGAAAAGCTTTTAGGTAAATAGAGTATATTAATGTTTTTTCAAAAAGAAAAAAAGCACACAGCTTCGGTTCTCATCTCATTTTCTTGATCTCCTTAAAAAACTAGCAGTTCACATCAACAGGGCTGGCAATATTCTCTCGTTATCTTGCAAGCCATTCTTGTGTTATCCTGGCCCAAGGTAGGGGCATACATGTTACCTGCCATCAGATATTCCCTTTGGGCATGAAATGGGGTCATGTTTTGTGATGCAAAAGGGAAGATGTTTTCGGTGCCAATAGTTCTTTTACATGGTGGGGTTTTTTTATAACCGATCAATTACAGAGTTAAAAAGCAGGATGTCTGAAAATGTTCTAGCTTAAATCTCTGAAATTCATACTAGGATCCATAGGGATTATTTTACATTTATGTATAAAGGTGCACAGTTATAGAGAACCCAGTATCTAGATCTTGGAATTTGGAGAGAACCTATGACCCGTTCCGTCTTCCAAATTGTCAGGACTTTTGTTGTGCAAACTCCGGTCGATCCCAATTCAGAACTGAATCAATGTGGACTAGCTGTCTTCAGGGCTCTGTATAGAACACATCTATAGTACAGGGCAGGGCCAGGCAATCTTCGGCACTCCAGATGCTGTGGCAAAGCATCATGGGAGGTGTAGTTCAAAACATCTGGAGTGCAGAAGGTTGCCTATGCCTGGTATAGGGCATATCAGTTAGAGGCAGGCCGTGGCTTTAGATCTTTACCACAATGTTCTATTTTCTTGAAAAAAAAACAAAAAAACATGAAGACAGGATTTATTATTAGACAACACACTTTTCACTTCCCAGTGTTGTAAAATAGGAAGATTCATATAAAAAGAGATGGGTTGCTTCAGTAGGAGAGTCTTAAAGGACCACTATAGGCACCCAGACCACTTTAGCTTAATGAAGTGGTCTAGGTGCCAGGTCCATCTAGGGTTAACCCTGCCTGCTGTTAACATAGCAGTTTCAGAGAAACTGCTATGTTTACATTAGGGTTAATCCAGCCTCTAGTGGTGTCTCATTGACAGCCGCTAGAGGGCTTCCGCGCTTCTCACTGTGAAAATCACAGTGAGAAGACACCAGTGTTCATAGGAAAGCATTGAGCATCCAGCCATATAAAGCATGTAACCCCAGCCATATTAAACACGTAAACCCAGTCATTTAAACCATGTAACCCCAGCTATATAAACCATGTAACCCCAGCCATATTAAACACGTAAACCCAGTCATTTAAACCATGTAAACCCAGTCATTTAAACCATGTAACCCCAGCTATATAAACCATGTAACCCCAGCTATATAAACCATGTAACCCCAGCCATCTAAACCATGTAACCCCAGCCATCTAAACCATGTAACCCCAGCCATCTAAACCATGTAACCCCAGCCATCTAAACCATGTAACCCCAGCCATCTAAACCATGTAAAACCAGCCATCTAAACCATGTAACCCCAGCCATCTAAACCATGTAACCCCAGCCACCCAGCCATGTAAACCATGTAACTCAAATGCTAGCAGAATGCTTGGTTGTATAGGGAGAGGTATTAGCAGTAGAAAGAGGGAAGTGCTCATGCCATTATACAGAACACTGGTGAGACCTCACTTGGAGTATTGTACACAGTACTGGAGACCGTATCTTCAGAAGGATATTGATACCTTAGAGAGGGTTCAGAGAAGGGCTACTAAACTGGTTCATGGATTGCGGGATAAAACTTACCAGGAAAGGTTAAAGGATCTTAACATGTATAGCTTGGAGGAAAGACGAGACGGGGGGGATATGATAGAAATATTTAAATATATAAAGGGAATCAACACAGTAAAGGAGGAGACTATATATAAAAGAAGAAAAACTACCACAACAAGAGGACATAGTCTTAAATTAGAGGGATTAAAAATAATATCAGGAAGTATTACTTTACTGAGAGGGTAGTGGATGCATGGAATAGCCTTCCAGCTGAAGTGGTAGAGGTTAACACAGTAAAGGAGTTTAAGCATGCGTGAGATAGGCATAAGGCTATCCTAACTATAAGATAAGACTAGGGACTAATGAAAGTATTTAGAAAATTGGGCAGACTAGATGGGCCGAATGGTTCTTATCTGCCGTCACTTTCTATGTTTCTATGTTTCTAAATAAACCCAGCCATATAAACCATGTAACCCAGCCATATAAACCATGTAACCCAGCCATATAAACCATGTAACCCAGCCATATAAACCATGTAACCCAGCCATATAAACCATGTAACCCCAGCCATATAAACCATGTAACCCCACCCATATAAACCATGTAACCCCACCCATATAAACCATGTAACCCCACCCATATAAACCATGCAACCCCAGCCATCTAAACCATGCAACCCCAGCCATATAAACCATGTAACCCCACCCATATAAACCATGTAACCCCAGCCATATAAACCATGTAACCCAGCTGTAATGATATTGATGTTACAAAGTTTTGGAGTCCAGTAGCCAGATCAACAAT